AAAGACTAAAAACTTTTTTATTTGAAGAAACATTGAAAGGTAGAGACATCTGGTAATTTAAAATAAATGTCCTTCCTTCCTCCCTCCCCCCCTCCCCCCTTCCCCCTCCCTCCCTCTTTTTCTTTCGGTCTCTCCCTCTCCAGCATGTAAATTACATCGCAAGGAATATAGTCAGTAATATTGTAATAACTATATGGTGTCAGGTGGATACTAGACTTATTGGAGGGTCACTGTATACATTATATAAATGTCTAACCACTATGCTATATATCTGAGACTAAAATAATATTGTATTCAACTGTATTTGAAAATTTTTTAAAGGTTAAATAAATGGTAGGATATTTTCTATTATAGTTAAATAATTATCATTTACATGAATCATGACCTAAAAACTTTTTGCATATTTTTATAAGTAATTTGTTATTTACAAATATTTAGACAATTGTAAAATATATGATTCTATCTAAAAAGAGGGAATTTTTATAAAGCATATTGTTTAGTAGACATTATCCTAGGTTGATAACACATTCAGTGAAAGTATCTATTATTTTGCCCATGTCAAGTGCCCAAAGAATGAACAGAAGCAGGTGAGAGTTGGGATAATGAGTTAATTATGCATAATGTAACTGTTCATGGACATGTGTCAAGTAAAGAAATGTTTTAAGTGAAGATTCTAAAAACGTGATTGATGACTGGTTCTAGTCTTGGGAAAATATAAGTTTTAAAATGTTTAGAGTCAAGTTGAGAAAGTACAATTAACACCAAACACACATTCAAGGTTTCTTATTGAGCAGCATTCAACCCATTGCCCCAGAAAAAGCTTTCATCTCAAAAGATGAAAGAATTAAATGGAAATTAGAACACTGAAGGCTACTTCGGAAGCGTACATTTATTTGGGCATCTGGTAGTAATCCACTAAACACAGTTAGGGTCTATTGGAGAACAACCAAAACAGATTTTCCAGGCAAAGATTCTGCCAGATCTGGTTGCTTTTCACTATGGAAAAAGAAGGATGCAGAGAAGTACATATACCAATGTTACCTTTTCAAAAATTTTATTTGAAAGTCACATCAGTATCTTCTTTATAAAAGTATTATCTTCATCTTTAATGATAGTTCTTCAGGTGGTGAATGCTGTAGATTTCGATGATCAATTTCATTATTTCTGTTCAATTAAAAAAGTTAATTGCATTGAAAAAGACATTTGCATGGTCTTCAATACAATGAGTATGTAACTGGAAATAAAAGGAATGTCTGGTTTGTTATTGATTAAGGAGTTAGACTACAGACCTTGAAGATGCAAGATCAAATAATGAGAGCTCAGGGTGTGTACATAAGTGTTTTGCACACAGAGACAGTTAAGCATTTCTTGATTTACTAAGGACCTCTGATTTCTAGTGGTCTTTAAAAAATGTACATTTAAAAATAGTGGAAAGAAAAATTGCCTCAGGTCTGTCAAATGTACTTACAGCAGAATCACTTTTAACTGTCAGAGTTTTCAGTTAATATAATTGAAATTTAGTTCTGCTCTGTGACAAGCAAAATCATTGTTTATCAAACATACCTAATTATATATTTGACCTAAAATTAATCAATATAAACACAGAAAAGCTGGCACTCAAGCAGAATTGGAATCTCATCGAAGGATAATTTTGTACCGCGTAAGGAATATCGTCGTATTGTAATTACTATGTGTGGTGTCAGATGAGCACTAGACCTGTCGGGGTGATCACTTTGTAAGGTAGATACATGTCTGATCACTATGTTTCACACCTGAAACTTATATAATAATGTATGTCAACTGCAATTGAAAAATAATTTTAAAAAAGACAACTTAAAACAAGAGGCAACGCCCTGGCTGGTTTGGCTCAGCGGGTAGAGCATCAGCCTGCGGTCCAGAGACACCTGGGTTCGGTTCCCACTAAGGTCACGTACCTCGGTTGCAGTTTGTCCCTGGCCCTGGTTGGGTCGTGCGGGAGGCAGCCACTCGATGTGTCCCTTTCACGTTGATGTTTCTCTCTCTCTCTCTCTCTCTCTGTTCCTCTCTTTCCCTCCCACGCTATCTGAACAAAAAATGAAAAAAATGTCCTCGGGTGAGGATAAAAAAATATATAAATAAAAATAAAAAAAGAGGCAACTCACCCTGGCCGGTTTGGCTCAGTGGTTAGAGCGTCAGCCTGAGGTCCAGAGAGACCCGGGTTCAGTTCCTGCTAAGGGCGCGGGGTCTTGGTTGCACCTCGGTTGCAGTTTGTCCCCAGCCCTGGTTGGGTTGTGTGGGTGGCAGCCACTCGATGTGTCCCTTTCACGTCGATGTTTCTCTCTCTCTCTCTCTCTCTCTCTCTCTTCCTATCTCTCCCTCCTACTCTATCCAAACAAAACAAAAAGAGGCAACTCAGAGAAAGGAACAATTTAACAATTTTGCAAAATGAGGTCAGTTATAGCACCTGTAGAATAAAAACAAAAGATTATAAATAGAGGAAAATAAAGTAAAATTGTGATCATATAAATCTCAAAGAAGTGTAAAATACCTCACACTTCTTTTTTTGTATTTAAAAATTATTTTTTAATAATTTTTACCTAATTCTTTTGAATAAGACATAGCATTTTAATTTGTTTTCTATTAGCCAACTGACTCTGGAACTAGAAGTTGCTGGACTTGGCCTATTATAAATGACCAAATGCTGGTTTGTGCTATTCTATCATTAATATAAGGGTTCAGGTTTGGCCTTTTTTGTTGTGAATAGTTATTATTTGTTTTGATGTTAAATGAATAAGTCATTGTTGTATTGCAATAATGTGGTTGTTAATTAAGCGTGTAGTTGATGGGAATAGTATGGTTGGGAATATAATATATAAGATAACAATAGGTAGGCCTATTATTATATGGGTAATAAGTGAGGCAAACAAATTTTCTTTTATTTGGTATTTCAGGGAGTTGAGTGTATTTCAGGGAGTTGAGAGTTATGCAGAACTCCATTTTTTTTTCTTTTTGCCAAGAATATTGGCTAGTAGACTATGGTTATTATTTCATGACCTGGAGATGAACTAGAGATCAGTGATTTATAGTTCTGAAAACATTATGAACTTGTAAACAAAGACTAAAGATATTGTTGATCTTTTTCTGGGAGTGATCACCTGATGTGATCAGTGGGGAAATAAGTATTTGAATGATCTAAAGCAGAGCTGTCCGCTTTGAGACAGAGCCTCATGGAGATCAGATGTCCAACAGGGGAGTCTCTGGTAGGTTGGAGGGACAGAGCTGGCCATGCGTGGCATCCCTCAGTAAAAGAGCAGCTTTGTGGAGGTGGGAATCCTAATTCCAAAGTCAAGGTGAGAATTGTCTGAGAGGATATGAACCTGATCAACAGAGGTTTCTTGCACCTGGTGTTGCCCCAGATCTTTTCTCATCCTAAGTCCTTAGTCTTTGCAAACTTTTGCATACCTGTCTGTCTCTATCAACCTTGCCCTTTCCACCTGAAAGGTCAAGGTTATTCCATTTCATGCAGTTTAGTGCTTAAGTCCACATAACAGTCTGTGCGCTTGGATGAGGCAGGACTGAGTAAGTGCTGATTTCTGGAGTCTCTGCAATTGTTTGGATCTGTCTCTTCAAACTCAGCCCATGTGGTATGGGTCCGAGATGGGATAAGTGGGCTTTCTCCAAGGCCCTTACAAGAACAGCTAACAAATCTGTTCTTTTATTGACATTTCTATTCTCAGAGGCTTGGCTGTTAATTGGAGCGTTCATCACAAAAATGTATTTCCTAAACATGGGTTCCTGATTTTGAAGTTCATCCTTTAAGTATCTGAATGTACTGTTCTGTGTGAAAGACAGAAATTATTGTTGAAACAAAGACTTACGTTTAAATCGGTTTGTAAAGTGCTGCATGCAGTCAGTGGTTTCTGCTCATGTCTTTTTATCCACAGTGGACATTTGTCACTGGACCTCAGTCAGCCTTAAGCCAGATAGTGTTCTAAGTAATGCCTTATTTTCTAACTTTTTGATGTAAATGTTGGTGATGTTCTGCTTCCAGTAATTTATTTGGTTACAAAAAATGAGAACGTTAGTAATTTCCTTTCCTAAAAAATTAATTAGCTTTTTGGGGGAAAGAAAAATAATATGGGCCTGTTATAAATAGTCAATCAGTACAAAAATGCGTTAAAAATAAGTGTTTACTGCCCTGGCCAGTTTGGCTCAGCGGTTAGAGCGTCGGCCTGCGGTCCGGAGAGACCCGGGTTCGGTTCCCGCTAAGAGCACATACTTCGGTTGCAGTTTGTCCCCAGCCCTGGTTGGTTGTGCGGGTGGCAGCCACTTGATGTGTCCCTTCACGTCGATGTTTCTCTCTCTCTCCCTTCCTCTCTCTCCCTCCCACTCTATCTGTACAAAAAATGGAAAAATATCCTCGGGTGAGGATAAAAAAAAAAAAAAAATAAGTGTTTACTGTGCTCTTAGTAGTAACCACAATTGGTATATACCTTTCTAAACATTGTGTATGCATATAATTTCTTTCAACTTTATCCCTTTCTTCATGTATATAGATGCAATGAGAAAAAATTATTTTGAATGTGCATATATACTATACATAAACTACTGAAACTTATTTTTACAAGTTTACATTATATTATGGACATTCTTCTAGAAAGCCTTATGTTTATACTTTTGTGGTGTGGGGTATACATTTTAAATTTTCATAGCTAGTATACCAGCATGTCCTCTAAATTCAAAATAACTTTCTTACAGGGAAATTACATATATATATATATATATATATATATATTATATATATTATTACATATATTAAATATATATATATTATTAGGGAACATAGTGAATTGTATTGTAATAACTATAATTCTATTACTAGTTTTATTTTTCACAAAGAGTCAGCCTCCTTCTTGTTTGTGACCATTAGTCAGTCATACAGGACTACTGGGCTAAGAGAAAGTGTATACTTCTTTGGACGCCCCTCCGGCATCTAACTGTGGCCAGCTCTCTCTCGACAGGGCGCATCTGGAGGCCAGCGCCGAGAAGTGGAACAGGCTGCTGGCGTCCTTGGAAGAGCTGATCAAATGGCTGAACATGAAAGACGAAGAGCTTAAAAAGCAAATGCCTATTGGAGGGGATGTCCCAGCACTGCAGCTCCAGTATGACCATTGTAAAGTAAGTGGGCCACATAGGGTGGGTACCTTTTAAGGTTAATTTTGATTTTGGTGAAGTAAATCCTCAAGATAGAATTCTAGATAAATATCAGTTGAACCAATTATCTCAGGTTTCTCCCAACCCCACCCCACCCTCTGCTTCTAAGTTCCAGGATTTAGGTGCAGTAAGAGATCAACAATAATAACTAGTAATACAGTAGAACAGTCACAACAGTACACCAAAATAAAAGTTATGTGCATGTGGTCTCTGTCTCCCTCAAAATGTGTTACTGTACTGTACTCAACCTTTTTTTTTTTTTATGATGTGAGATAAATAAAAGGCCTTATTTAGTTGAGAACTTTCACTTTTTCCCTAAAAAATAAAACAAAACCCTTCAGTGCTCCTCTTTGACATGTTCGAACTGTCTGCGTCACTGCTCCGATGCTTTGGGACCATCGCTAAGTAAAATCAGGTGACCTGAACACAAGCACTGTGCTTCTGTGCAGTCGACCTCGTGCCTGAGACGGCCACTGAGCGACTCACCAGCAGGTCGCACTTACAGAATGAAAGTGCTGGGCACAGGGATGAGTCACATCCCGAGCAGGACCGTATGAGTTCTCATCACATTAGCCACGTGGCGTGCAATTGAAAACACAAATTGTTTATTTCTGAAATTTTTTGTTTAATATTTTTAAACCGCAGTTGACTGCCAGTAACCTAAACCATGGAAAGTGAAACCACGCTAGGCGGGATTACTGTAATGGTCCTACAGAGGTGGAGACTGACCTAACGTGCTCCATGCTCATGGATGATCCTGCAGAGTGGGGAAGGTCAATGGTGCCGGAGGGAGGGTACCCTCCCATGTACACCTGGGGCAGGTGGTCTGAAGGAGAAGGGCAGAGAGTTCAACCATTTTGACAGGGAGCTGTCTGAATTACTTCATTGTGAACCATGCAGTATTATTTAGGGAAGTCGAATTAATTTGACATAATCTCTCAATGCTAAATTAGGATGTTTAGAGATTACAAGATGAATTGTTTTTTAAGGAGACAAAGATATTTAACACTGATTTGTTCATTATTCCGGGAGATATTATCCTATAAATGCAAGCCTTGAATGTCATATGTTTAAGAAGCACTGTATCCTTCAGTTGTGGACAAGACAAGTACACATCCACAAGAAAGATAAAAAACCCAGGCGATTACACGAATGCAGATGTTACATGAATAAGCACTTAAGTTTTACATGAAAATGTCCAGTGACGACATTATATATGGAGTGAAAAACACCTCGGCTGGACAGGGGTTACTGCGAGCTAGAAAACCATTAAGTGACTCAAAAGTGGCTTCTAGGGATGTGAACGCGAGTTATGTGAAAAAACTGAATAAAGTAATTATAAGTGGACATGTGTCCAACCGATATCTTCAGCAGTTTGTATATTCAAGTCGCCAGAAAACTTGTGCAGGGCTTTTCTCCTTTGGACAGTGTGTCATCCTCTGTCCTGAGGCGCCTTATGTTAGCCTGTCTATACAAAGTTACTGAACTTAGCACATGGCCTGGGACCCAGTGCCAAGTCCCACCTCCTCCACTCACCAGCTCTGTGGTCTAGGCTTTGGGGCAGACTGTTTAACCTCTTCATTCCTGTGTGACCATCGGTGTATATGAACCACTTAGCACAGCACACACAGTATGTGCTCAATAAGCTTTGCTGTTGGAGTTGTTATTTGCACTAGGACTTATATTTTCTAGTATTTTTTTTAAATTGCAGTTGCTTCATGTTTGCATTTTGTATTTTTTTCATAGGTTCATTATGTTTGGGTACTATACGTTTTGATATCATAACTTACATTTATTATTTTAGCCTGTTGGTACTTAAAAGATAACAGACTACTTAGGAAATAGGATAAAGTCATTGAAACAGCAGTATTTTTGAGAATTTATGTAGAATAAGATACTATACGGGAGTCTAGAAACTAGAAGATGATTAATTTATTGTTCTTAATAAAAGAAAACAGCTTATGCCAAGCCCATAAGGCATGCAATGCCTTTTGTTAACGTATCAAAGGTTACTAGGCAAATTATAAATGTTTAACCATGAATCTAATTACCTTTAAAAACAACATTTGACTGTTACCCTAATCTATAAGCAAGGAACACAATTAATATGCATTATCTTACATTTGCATTTGTGTGACTTTCTGCTGGGCCTGGGCCGCTTTCACCGTCCCGGACACCTGTGGTAAGACACTTTGGTATCTCGTAAGAATGAGTGCAGTCATCTCGGGTACATAGCAGTTGGTTTATGGAACTCATATATTCTCAAACTCTTCTGATTCCTGCGTATATTTCTGTGTTATAGTCCTTTATGTGTGCATCAGTGATTTTATAACTCTTTTTCATAACTGTTCTTTGAATGGCAGTGCCGATTACTTCATCCACCCACCCATCCATCCGTCCGTCCGTCCGTCCGTCCGTCCGTCCATCCATCCATCTATCCACTGACACTATTCACTGAATGCTTTATATGTTTAATTTGATACTGAATATAGAAAGGGCAATAAGGCACAACCTCTGCACTTCAGTGACATATTTTAATAATTCCTGTATCCAGAAGGAATAGTTATACTTAAGGATATATGATATTACCGTAAGGTCATGCTTTAAACCATCTCGGCTGCTCAAACATCTAGCAATGATAGATAAAATACTTTTTAAAAGCCAGAAAACCAAATATGGGAAAATTGGGCTCCACAATACGACATACATTCTCTAGACCAGAAACAAAGCAGAAAAACAAAGTATGTAATAGGGTTGCTGCTGCTGACCACGGCAGCCATCCCGGGTGACGAGGCGGCAGCCCATGGCAGTCTGTGTCCACGGTCTCTTTTACATAGTGAAACGAGTGACCCACAGGGGGCACCACTTCCTTCTGTCATGTGACTCAGGAACTGATGTTAGGAAACATCGATGTGTTTCGGATCATTAATTAAATGCCTGTACTTTCTTGGTTGTTTTAGCCAGTGACTCAGAATGTTATAGGTTTTCAGCAATAGCAATAATAAATACTTTACTTAATATTTAACAAAATGTACACATAAGCAGACTCATTATATAGTAAGTCAAAGGACCCTGACAGTACATTGTGTGTCATGGGACCTGGGACACAGTAAATGCTTAGTGAGCAGTGACTGACACCTCCTCCCATAATGGCTGAGAATCTGTCATGATAGTCTTGATCATTTTTGTTTTGTTTAACACTAAGGCTATATGAGTTAATTAAATAAAATTGTGTTAGTACCTGCTAATTACCATCTAGTCCATACAGCCCAGCAGAAGTAGCTTCCCAATCTAGGATTAACCTGTTAAATTAGACAAGGGTCACCTTCCAGTCTTTACAAATATCAGTTTGTAAATAACACAATAATTTTTTTTCATCTAGGTACATACTAAACACCCTCAAATCTCCAAACTACTACTTTCAGATATATCATTTTAATGGATAGTTGGATTTTGCATATGCTGACTTAAATTTTTAGTGTCATTTTTAAAGTTTTATAGACGGCAAGGTTACTTACATGCACCTTCCCTCTTGAGAGTGTGAGATTATCATTCCATCAACAATTACCTGGAAAATACCTACAATGTATGTAGCGTTCATTTGTAATGTTACGGATTTACTTCTGTCAAATGCTTTCAGATTGGATAAAGTTGCAGGCGCAGGTTATGCTTTTCAACTTTCATTCATTCTCAGACCAATGTGAATATTAGGTGATGGGGGCCGGTTATCAGGGCTCCAGCTCCCTTTCTCCAGTAGAATGATGTTTGAATTTAGAAAAGGAAATACCAAGAATCACTGAAAGTATGTGATTCAGGTAAAATCTCTTGTAGATTTGTCCATTCCTTCAGGGCTACTCTGTCCTTGGTGTAACCCAAGGTAACTCCTGTATTCAGATCTCATTATATCAGAGTCAGGGCATTAGGGCCTTAATGTGCCAAGATACATAAGCAAACTTATTAAAATAACACGTTTGAACATTATCTTCAAAACAGCAACACCCCACCATAAAATTCAGTGTGTGTGTCCTGGTAAAGCAATCTGAGATCCCCCCTTCAAACCTGTAATCTCAAGGTCTCGCTGTGTTATGACGCTAGATATGGTGGGAAATTGGCCTTTTGCTAAAGTTGCTTAAAATTGATTGCCGAGCTCCCCTCTTACTTTGCCACCTGTGTTGACTTCCGTCTTATCACATGGCAGGTGCACAGCCCCCAGCAGCCAGGAGAGGCAGCAGTTCTCTAAGTGAGCCTGCACCTACCGGCCACGCTCCATTTAGTGGTGTGCAGTCTATCTACTGTCACTTAACCCGATAGGTGTGATTGGAACTCGCCCGAAAGGGTTTATCCAAGTCGAGAGGTGGAATCAAGATAGCCTAGTACCTGTCACTTGCTGGTGGTGAAATTAACAGTGGACCACAAATGTAGTCAAAAAACAGAAGTCTGTGAAACCAGGTGGCGTAGTCCAGCCCTCGATTCAGCCCATCCTAGTGAACTGCCTCTGGGCATATGTAGCCCAGAGACAATTTCATTTATCTACCAGTTTATTTCTTCATTCAGGAAACGTCTGTGTTGCACCTGATGTTTGCCAGACACATTGCTAGGTGCTGGGCGTGCAGCAGTTTGTGACTGTTACTGCTGTCACAGGAGTCACCTTCTAGCAGCAGAGACAAGTTTGAAAAGGAGTAATGACAGTAGATATCAAAAGCACTGTAATGGGAGCGTGAACGCCAGCCAGGGAGGCACAGGTGAATCATGACTGTTTGTACTTCGGAAGATTGGGTAGGGCTCCATAACGCAAGTAGCCTTTGAGCTCAAGAGATGCTTTGGAATAAGAATTCACTACAGCTTTTTATTGAAGCTGCTAGCAGAAAAATCCTCCAAATGAGCCATGGTATGACTTGGAGTAAGCAATAGAGTGAGAGGTGGCATACACCTCCCTTTTTGATTACACACTGAATAAGGCTGAA